TCAGTCGACTAATTAATCGGCTAACCGATCAATCAATCAATCAACTAATCAATCAACCAACCAATCCATCAACTATCCAATCGATCAATCAGTTAGTCAATCAATCAATCAATCAATCAATCAATCAATCAATCAACCAACCTGGCAATCAGTCAGTCGACTAATTAATCGGTTACCCAATCAATCAATCAATCAATCAATCAATCAATCTAATCAATCAACCAACCAATCAATCAACTAACCAACCAATCAATCAACTAACCAACCAATCAATCAATCAACCAGCCAATCGATTAGCCTTAACCAACCCTTCAACCACTCCATAAATCAATCAATCAATCAATCAAGTCGTTGTTCTAATGTCCAGGAGAAGATGGAGATAGAGTGGTTTGATGGTCAAAAGACGAAGAGTCCGTCGCCTGAAGTCGGTGGGTTTTCGGTACAGTTCCAGCGCCATTCTTCCTCCCTCGGAGATCTCTCCCACCTCCACAAATGTCCAGGCTATGGTGCTTATCTTCTTCTTCTTCGGCTTGAAATACTTGAACTCAAAGACGATGGCTGCTCCTGCCGGTAAGCTCTGAATCGGACTCTGGCAATGGAAGACCTTTCCGCATTTTACGTAATTAGGGGTACGTTGATTGCTAGCGCTAGCCTGTTGAGCTTCTTCTAAAAGATTGCCACCTGAGTCGACGATGGAGATGATGAAGAAGGGGTCTATAAACTTCGATGCATCCTTAAGGCCTATTTTCTCTATCTCAATGGAGAGGAACACGTCTCCGCTCCTGGCGGTGCCAACAAGAGGAGGAGGGAGGATCTTATCCTCACCGGCAAAATCTTCTCCGCCTCCCCCTCCTCCCCCTCTGCTTCTCCCTTCTTTCTCTTCTCCTTTTCCTCTCCCTCCTCCTCCTCCTCCGACTACTAACACTACCCCTACTCGTGTTGTCTCGCTTGCCAAGTCTGGATCGTTGCTCCAGTCGCGATCGGGATCGGGTTCGTCCATCGACGAACTCATCTTGGGCTCCACAGACAAGGTGGATATACACCGGGTGTCGGGACCGACGTGGAAGTCGCGATCCCGTCCCAGGTTCCACGTCTTTGTCTTCCTGCGGGAGGCGTCGGCTCCCGCGGTGAAGTAGTGACGTGGAACCTGGAACGGAATCGAGACTTCCGCGTCGGTCGCGACTGCGGTCCCGACTTTGGTCCCGACCGTTAGAAGTTCTTCAAACACGCCCAGGAGTTGTTGCATCTGGCACAGCCGCAGCTCCTGCTCCGCGGCCTGGGATTGGGAGCGGGATTGGGATTGGGAGCGGGAGCGGGAGTGGGAGCGGGAGCGGGATTGGGATAGGGAGCGCGACTCGGGATCCCGTGTTGCTGAGCTGGCTGCTGCTGCTGTTGAGTTTAAAATACTACCCGTAGGACCAGCAGCAGCAGCTACCGCAGCCGCGGCAGAGTCTCCCACCCTCTCTCCCATCCTCTGCTGGTGACCCACCTCACCTTTCGTCCTCTCATCATCATCATCATCATCATCTTCGTGATCGTTCGTCGAAAGTTCGTCGAGCGGGTGGTGTTCGTTACTAAGCCTGTCAGATCGGATCTCCAGACACGTGGCCAGCTGGTCGATCAACCTCCTCTCCTCGGGGAAAACCTCCCCTCTCCCCGCGCTTGCCACGTCAGCTCGCATCTGGGAGGCCAGCTTGGCATAACCCTCCCCTGCCTCCTCTCTCTGTCCCCATGCATCGGAGTCCAGATACGTCCTATAGTCTGTCAGCCATTTGGCCTTCGCCTCCTCCCAGCGAAACGTTGACGTCATTGCCATCGCGACCACAACAACCGGTCAACGGTCCTCCCTCCTGCCCCCTGTTGACGTCAACGAAATTGGCAAAGCTTCAGAATCGCGGTACTCCCCCTGACAGACAGCCTACCGGTCGGGGTTACTCGCACTACCCCTACCCATCATAAATGCATCTGTCCGCATTTACGGCTCGACCTGTATGCATCTGGCCCAAATTCCATCCAGAAATAAGTGAAAGAAGGGCCTTCGCCTCCTCCCGAGGGAAACGTTGACGTCATCGCGAACACAGCCACGCCGGCCAACGGTCCCTCCACCGTCGAGAACTTTCCGGTCAACGGTCAACGGTCCCTTCAACCCGCTTCCAGGTTTATTACGCTGACGTCAACTGTATTATTCATGGGCAGTCAGAGTCGGGATACGTCCGGTAGTCTCTCAGTTTGGTTTGTTCTTTTTTTTATTTGGGGGGGGAGGGGAAGTGGGGCTTGGCCTCCTCCCACTGCAGCGGAACGTTGACGTCAACAGGGACACCTCAACCCGCCAAACAATGGCGCCTCACTCCAGCGGTCGACTAAGCTTACCCCCTTCTTTTTTTTTTTTTTTTTTTTTTTTTTTTTTTTGGAAGAAGAAGCTCCATCTATTGAGGGGGAGCATCATCTGCTGGAAAGCGGGTCCAGCGTCCCATGTACAGAAAGAATTTGTGGGATATCAGGAAAGGGGTTTTGAAAGTTGAAAGTTTGGAGAGTTGCCTGACAACATTGATTGCTCTGGAATCCCAGAGGATTGACTGAGCAGGGAAGTCCAGTTGATGTAGCTCAGTGGTTAGAGCGCGGGTTGGAAATGCACATTGTGGTATAAGGTTGCGGGTTCCAAACCCCGCGGTCTCAGGTGTTCTGATGTTCTCCCCAGTCTGGCATATCACACGATTTCGATTTCCGGTAGTTGCTCATACGGTAGAGTCTTGGATTGCATGTTACAAGGTCAAGCTTGGTTCGGTCCTTGGGGGGTGTCCTTGTCCAGCTGGTCCCGTTCTCGCCTCGATACATGAAGCACAGAGTACACATACCTTTCGGGCATACACACATAGCTTGAGAATTATATATCGCTTACAGGTTACACACACAAGTTTCCATACACAAGTTTCCACACATGATACTGTCTACACAGAGTCACAGAATATATACACAAAAAACAGGCTGGGGAGCTAGTCACTGGTGGGGTCTAGTGCCCGCAGTAGGTTCAGGTAGGTTGGATAGGGTGCCATTGGGTGCTACCTGAACGGGAACTTCGGATAGAACTGTCTGGTGGCTATATATATATGGGGCCTGTAGTTCATTGTTTGGGCCTGGCGTCCAAAGTTCCCGTTATATATATATGGGGCCTGTAGTTCATTGTCTGGGCCTGGCATCCGAAGTTCCCGTTCGACAAGGTTCGTCCGCTTCCGCTTCCACCATGGCCGGGCTATCCATCAGCCCTGGCCCCTGGTGCCTATCACTGCTGTTCGGTCCAAGTTGCCTGCCTGTTGGTAGGGCAATGGTCC